CTACATGATATGTTCGGTGTAGGATTGGCTGAAGGTGGATTCAAATGATGGGCCCAGTGAATTTGGAGGAAACGACGTTTACCGAAAACGTTTTTGAAAAACGGTTGCTTGTCACTCCATTCTTCACTGAAGTATTCTTTCAGAGATGATTTGTCGTGTAATTCCATATTCATAACTACGCCCAAAAATGCCTTCATTTCTGTGAGAGTCACATCTTCCCATTTATGCCATATTGAGTTTTTTGTAATGGTGTCGCTTTTTATATCTTTCCTGCGCCGAAACTATTTTTTTTATCGCTAATTCTGTTTCTGGTCTGTTGACTGGGGGTTTATTAGCTGTGAAACGCAATCTTCTGAACTGTTCATCATTTGGGTCCCACCTCCTCCATTCCAGTCGGAAAACTTCATTATTTTGTCTTTCAAGTTCCACCTTACTTCCACTGCCTTCTTCAATCTCACTTTCTGCATCCTTGGTATCTTCATCTTGAGCATCAATATGATCTTCATAATCACTTAGCTCATATGCATCCTCTTCAGAATCATAGTCATCATCACTGTCTGCATCTATAGGTATTTGATTCCTTTTCCGTGAGGCTGATGCCATTTTGTAGTTAACTATAAAATTATATTTTCAAAGACAATATTAAATCTATGCGGACTGACAATTTGACTCATCAATGATATTAAAACATTTTTCTTCTCGTTTTCAAACCTAAAACAGTAACAGTTTTTCAATTCTCAAGCATCATGCACTGATAATAATTATTGTTGAAAATCAGAAGTTGAAGTCGTCCAGGTGAAAACGGAAGTGATGGGAGAGTATGAAATATCGCCAAGTTCTACAATTCTTGAATTCCTGAAGTTTGAATATCATACCTTCAGAATGCTGGAAACTATGGCTTGTCTAATGAATACGTTGACACCCGGTATACAGCCTTGTTTTGGTTTTCTCGTAACAGTTTTAGAACTATGAGTTCCGAACTGATATGAAGAAATAAATGGAAAACTATTTATAAAGACTTGAACATAGCAGGTCGTGTATAGTGCAGCAATACTCAATTCGTTACTGAAAAAATGGAAGGAGTTAATATTATAAGTTTTCTATGAAAGATCAGTTGTAGAGAACTATTGTATACAATACGAGAAGGAAGTTTTTATTTTTTTGTAGCAATCGTCGCACTCCGCCTACGATATCGTTCGTCAATATTTCCTAATTCGAAAAAATATCGAACTTTCGTCTCTTGATACATGAATGAAATTTCTTACAAATCAACTAGAGCCGGGATTGGCGCAGTGGAAGAGCGTCCGTCTCTCGACCGCAAGGTCGTGGGTTCGATTCCCAGCACGAGCAAGGAACTTTTTTCAATAGTTCATTTTACGAATTGAATATTGTAAAGTTTCGGAGCATCGGCTGGGGATAGTCCTGCACGATTCGCTGTGGCGTTCCAATTATCCAATTTACAGTGCTGCTTCTGAAGTGGCGCATGGAGTTAGTAACACAGCCTACACAGAACACGCAGGAAGAGATAATGATGTGGTTGTGAGCATCAGAGAAGAAGTAGGACGGTGTATGTAGGTGGGTGTGGGCGGGCCAGCTGCTTAGTGGACCTCGGTGTCTAACGGGGGTTAACGACAATAGATAGCAGGCCTGCCACTGCAGCATATGGTAGTGAGTACATTACACAACAAAACACAGCCGAAAAACTCTGAAAGAGAACTGATGGGCGGTGCCTGAAAAGGATGTTAGCCAGCTCTCTTGAGCGAACCACATCAGTCATTGAAAACACCTTGGGGCTTGCAAAAGGTCCCATTAGGGACTAGTTGCTGACGTGCGAACGTCCCCCATCAGTACCAGTAGTAGAAGGACAAATTAACTAAGGAATATCTTTTATTCATAAAATTCCTCTGATATCAGAGGTAACATGTTTTCACATGCATTCGCAAACTTCAGTCTTGTAGCCGACTACCAACTCCAGTGTTGGGGCTCACCCAAAATCGGACAGGATTTTGAAAATTTTAATGTCGGGGCTCACCCGACAAAGGACCGCAAATTCGTTGGCTTCGGCTCCAGTTTTGGTATGCCCAGACTTTTCGAAACCTTTTATCGTCCAGACAGACGCTTCGGCGTATGGTATTGGTGCCGTTCTCTCTCAGGAGTCTGAAAATGGTTATACATTCCCCGTTCTCTGTCGAAGACTGAGAAAAATTACGCTACCACTGAGCATGAACTCATTGTAGTCATATACGCCTGTGCAAACTTGAGGTCCTATCTAGAAGGATACAGTTTTAAGGTAATTACGGGTCATCGTAGCTTGGAATGGATACATCAGTTGACAGAACCCACAGGTGATTCAGCTCGTTGGGCACTTCGATTGCAGCAATTCAATTTTGAGGTTTTTCACAGTAGAGTAGTAGTAGAGGACGCGACCATGTCATTCCAGATATTTTGTTTCGATCTGTTCTTGAGATGGTTGTCGTGGTCCTTACCTCGGTCGTCTCAAGGTTATCGATTTGTGTTGGTCGTGTTGGACACCTTTAGCAAATTTCCGCTTTTCTATCCGCTCCGATCAGCAACAGCTGTTGCAGTTTGTAAGGTTATCGAGAAACAGATTATTTTTCTTTACTGTTGTCCGCTAATCGTTCTTCGCGACAACGGAATCCAGTTTAGGAGTCACCAGTTCACAGCCTTGTGTCGCTCTTACTCTGTCCATATTCGATTCAGTCCCGCATATCACCCGCAGGCTAACCCTGTTGAACTGGTTAATGGTGTGTTGAAAACTATGTGCAGATGTTACATCGAAGACAATCACAAAAATTGGGTCTGTCTTCTTCCGAAGATCTACGATCATCTTTTCATGAATTCACTGGGTTGACCCCTCATTTTGTAAATTTTTCTATAGAATACATTGGAGCTGGAGATTTACATTCCTCCAATAACCTTGCAGAGTGTACCCTTCACGAACTGCTCTCGCGATCGGAACAGATGCTAGGAATCTACCGAGATGTCCAAGAACGAAGAAACACGTGTTGCGACTAAATATCGCTATAAACTGAGGCATCGTCACGTGATTTACGCTGTGGGCAATCAAGTATATCGAAGGAATCACGTTCTCTCGAATGCTCTTTTTGGCCAAATTTGCGAACAAATTCGTATGTTCCCTTATTGTAGAAACCAAATCATGCCCTACTACATATTAGCTCGTCGATGAGCTGGGACGTTCAAGGGAAACATGGCATGTGAGAGATCTTATGGCGAAATCGGGATATTCGATACTTGGATTGATTTTTCGCAAAACGAACATTGGTCGTGATTGGTTGTAATGAGATATCCAGTTTCCAGTCAGATTAGTTACGTGACCGTTCAAGTTATTCTACCTTATGTACGGAAAGAAAAGGAGAACACTATTGTGAATCATCCATTATTATTCCGTCATACCGATTTGAATAGCGTTTTCAACGGATTGAAAGTCACGTACTTCAAGTACTCTTTAGTTGAGTATTTCATAGTGAGTTAACAGATTATTCAACAAACGACTCATTTTTTTATCACGAGGTAATTCTCTTGGGGGCAAGTTGCTGTGCAGAAACGGCGTGAGAATATCTCTCTAGGGTAATATACCCTGGCGATGAAAGTCCGACCAAATGCACGTTGTCTGAGTTGTAGGGCAGATTGTTCTTTATATTTTCTTGGGGCATGTGAATTTCGGGGTGGAAATCATTTTAGTTTCACGAAATAATGCATTGCTGTTTATTCACGTTATTCCCAGTGAGAGATTAAATCAATCTCCTCACATACAAGAGATTCACAGGTTACAGCTGGATCACTTCACAGGGTAGTCCTGAGTCCGCAACCATCGAGGGACTTCTTGGTGATGTTGACTTCATGTTGAATTCTTGTTTGAATCCATTATCGTCTTTTCCATTTTATTGACCTCTTCAATAAGATTTTCTTCTACTCGGGATAGTTGACTATTTATTATCATGAATTTTAAAGGCCTGAGCTCAAGCGCATCCACTAGCTGAATTTGTTTACTTGAACGCCTCATGGAATGGAGTTATTGAATTTGAAAGTAAGTTTTTAATAGATTTATCATTGAAAGTGGTTGAAAATGTGTCGTATCTCCTCTGTTCTGATTATAAACTGGATGGATAAAGTTGTCATTTGAAGTTCTCATATGATCAAGGGGTCAGTACCCAAGCAAATTCAGTATCCTGGATGTTATTAACTGAATTTGATTGAATGAGAAATCATTGCTGAACTGTATTGTATTTTTATTTAGATATTGGCCCATATCTCCTCAAGGCGGATTTTCACCAAACGGACAAAAGAGCAACAGAAGAGAAACTGGTGTCGACCTTGAAAAAACCACAACTTGTCTTCAGAAACACTTCGAAGACAGAAGTCGCCGGCGATAGTTTTTGTTCTGTTTTCGGAGTCCCGGTCAGAGGCGTGAACTCAAAATTGTTTTTGTTCGATCACGGACACAGTCGGCTGGGTGGAAAAAGGTCTTCCTTATGCAACACAAGTATACCCAAAATGAAAATCATAATAATCCATTCACAAGACGATGAAAAAAACATCTTCAATGCACATATTGTGACAGAACGGTCTGCTAAGTGAAAATGAGTGAAAACTCAAATGAAACTAGAACTCGGTTGAAGTCTGTTCAGTTGCAACAACGTTTCTGAATTGTTTTCGTTTTGTTACTATTTTGTGGATTTTGTCGAAGTTTCCATCGGAAATAAAACAGCGACTCGACGTGTCTATTTGGTAGGAATCCGCCTTCAGCTTAGATAGACTACTACTCGGTTATTTTCGGTAATTGGATATCAGTGGAGATGATTATTACCTGGCGCTCATTTAACGAACCCTCCCATCTTCACTGAAACGCTAGGCGAAGACCTTGGACCTTCTGGTTGATTCGCAATGAAATGGCAATTCTCCACCTAATATATGTTGAAATCAATCGGGAATAGTCAAGCTGAATGAAACTAATGAATCAAGGAGCATAATCGCCATTTATTAGTATTCAAATGAACAATATCATATTTGACCAACGCTGATACTGCCATTCACCACTATCTTCAGAACATAAGCTCCGTCACTCTTAGTGATAGATTTGGTTGGGAATTCTATCGCAACGGCTCCATTATCTTCCACAGACCACTGAAACAAATAATCCTTCATTTATCAGGGAAATATGAGGCTCATCAGGGCTACTTGTGAAAGGTTGAGGGAATTATAAAATCTTTATTGTCCCTCTGTATTCATAGCATATCTATGACGTTATTCATACACCAAGGTAGTGAATTATATCATTATAAGCCAGGTACCAAGATTATATCTCGAGGCTTCAGCCGAGGGAATGAGTTCCCGTAGTGATCATATACTCTACAACCTAGGTTTGTATTGATTCGTTTTCACCACAAGCAATGTATTTCCTATTTCAATTTTCATAGTTCTGTGGAACTGATATGTTACTAAGCATTTCTTCTCAACCTTTGATCAAAATTTAGTAGCCATGACCTGACAGCATATGACAATTCGTAATTGATGAATGCCTACTATATTCCAGTGCTATTCCGCGAATCTCGCATCGAAACAGTGAATTCGGGTTGATTATCACATAGGTAGCTAGGTCTTTTATAACAAGTTGTTCATAAACTGGCGAGAAAAACATCGGTAGAACAAACACACTCAATGCCTTGAAACGAAGTGAATACTGATGAGTTCTATGGCTTGTCTTGGAAATAAGCTCATAAAATGTTCTAACGTCTCGACACGTTTCCGGCTAACCATGTTGGCATCTTCAGGATTACATCAAATCTATACTTATATCCGAGTGTATGATACTGCCTTTATACTTGGAATGTTCACCAAACCATGAATTACACTTACAGCGTAGTAAATGACTATCATGGTTGGGTTCACATCTTAAAATCAAATCAGTGAAATATACATAGGGCTGAATGATATAGATCCATTATTCCCATTCATAACACAATTACTATGCTGAAATATCGACAGGTTTCCATAATGAAGTGGCTTGCTATTCTTCGGGTCATTGGTTCGAAAAAAAGAAACTATTGTGGAATAACAATGAGACAAACTCGCAGTTTACACTTTAACTGACAAACTAAATTCTGTATACAACCTTCCAAGACGGAAAAGGTATAGTCAAGTATAATAGAACATACAATAGATTTGTCCCTGCTACCACAGTTACTGCCTGTCCAGTCCAGTACAGTCCAGACCATCTCGTCCCGTACTTCCTCACCCGATACACTGAGCAAAACGAGTGAGATCGCGATACCACCTCATCACCCCTCCTATAATAGTTACAAAGTAGTAAGTTCTATGTAGGTCACACAAAGGGAAAAATCGAAAAAAAAAATATTCAAGAACATGTACTGATAATTCTGATTGCTACACTGGATGTCTAAACTGAATTTGAGGAATCCCTCAGGCTAGGACTTATACGGTTTCAGAAGTATAATGTTTTGCTTGTACAATTACTCACCACCTTCATCACCTATTATAAAGACATTTGGCTCAGCTCGACGAGAAACAGACAAAGAACCCTCATATAAAAAAAAACTTTTTGATGATTTTATCCTCGGCGGAGGATGGATAATGCGTCCTGACTAAGACTCGATCTCTGGCATTGAAATTGATGGGGTTGATTCTCAAATTTGCCTCCTTGGCACGCTTCTTGACACGTGTACGCAGAATACTATAGCAGACAATTCAGATACATTTCTATTGGATTTGGAGATACCTGCCCCGTTTGTAGATATATTGCATGATAACCAGTGCTTGCATTACTGATACTATCCAAACGGTTTTTAATGAAATGAAGCATATTTGCCTACTTTTTGTGCTTCTCGAAACAATAGGATGGCAACATACGCCCAATGTTTTCCTTGTAGCGTTTTGTTACGTTTCCCTGGAGGAAATATACGGATATCAATTTAGACCTAATATCAAGCTCATTTAATCTGTATCTCCTCGAACGGCTTTCAAATTAGGATCCATTATCTGGCAGAATGCACTTTGGCTCCTGAACTTGTGCGAAATAATGTGTTTCAAGGCGATTCAAGATGACTCGGCTCGTAGGCCTGCGTAGTGCATGAAGTTTTTCACAAATTTTGACGACGCGTCGACTACGAATAATATATGTATCACCTGGCCTCGCCCTACCGGCAGATGTCCTATGATGTCGACGCATATAAGCTCCCTTGGTTTCTCAACTACTATTGGATCTAACAACAACAATGTGCCTGGCATGCTTTTGCATCCTCGGCCAATAAACAGATTTTCGCATTTCGGTGTCTTAGTTTTTCCAAGATGCCCAATTCCTCTTTGTTGCGATAAGACGATATCATATCGGCTGTAATATTGTCCTTGCCTTCACAGTTCGCGATACAAAAATCATATTCCTGAATAAACACTATCCATCGTGACAATCTCGAATAACGCAATTTACAAGTTGGGAAATAGGGAAGTTAATGATTTATGGTTCGATATAACAACCAAATCTCGCCCTCAAATCAATGCACGCCACTTACGGAGACAGTGCACCACAGCAAGCACTTCTATTTCTGTAGTGGTATATGACACTTGGCCGCCCTTGAATATAGTACTGACATAGGCGTTAACTTGGTTTTCCTCAAGATCTGAATACTGAAACAAAGTACTCCCCAGATCATAGTCCGAATTGTCATATAATATAGAACGTACAATTCATAATATGATGGACCAATGATGTGACGCCTAAATATGCCTCTTCAATTGCCCGGAAAGCATCTTGTTGCTTTTTGCCCCATCACCATTTTCATTTTTCTTTGATAATCTTTGAAGCGGTAAGTGAAGGTGCAGCAGGAGTTCTCCCACCGTTTGACCAATTTCCCAATGAATATTCCACTCTTGTCCTCGAGAACCAATCATGATCGACCATTTTCACGGTTTCCTCTGCAGAACTTTTTTTTCCAAAGACTCGTTTATCCAACTAACAGCGAAGCTCTGGATCACATTGCCAAGGATAGTGTTCCCCGAGGCATATAGCCTCCAGAAATTCAAGAAGAACACCAATTACTACCTTGTTTCCCTTGGTTCTCACGATGTTCTCTGAATATTACAGGATATCTCTTTTCGTGGGAATCAGAACATGAAAAAAAATTCTAGCTATATTGTTCGTTTATTAAATTTCATCGGACTTGCTTTACCAATACAGAAGGCGATTTGTCCAACACGTGACCAACAAACCTCGTTTATCAGCGATAAAACTTTGACATCGGGTCTGGTCAAGATTGCTTTGGATCCAAATCAGAGACAATAACCTACCTACTTTATTGATTTTACTTACTTGTAATTCGCGTTAGTGAGATATTTTGTGTGAAAGGCGGGACAATTTCATTCTGGCTGGACGTTTCATGAGGAAAAATTCTTCAGGTGTATACCTATACCTATACCTATTATTTATACTATTTTGGTTTATGATGAATCAAAAAGAACGGTTCGGGGGATGATTTTCTGAAAGAGGTTAGAGAAAATATCACCATTCTAACACCGTAGGATACAATCAAAATACGCACATCAATATGAAACCAGTTTATGGACTTTTGTAAGTTGAGAAACTATGAATTTGTCTCAACTACTTCAGTCAGAAATGAACTTTTACAAAACAATCCAATTAAAAAAAAACAAAGTGCTGAAGCTCTGAAAATTTAAGAGATTCGAGCTATGGCCTCTGATGTGATGAAGATAATCCTGGCGGTTTACAAAGAAATGTTTCTACCTGTATATACCTAATAATTTTAACAACTATAATTCAAATTCCTTTTTGTAGTAAACCCCTCCAATTACTCAAGTTATTGTAACAATTTTAATTACCAGATGAAGTAGAACAACTGGTAGCGTTGTTGCGCGTTAAGCTCAATCGAGCATGCAGGGGTGGGACTACGGAGTGGGGAAATTATTTCCACAGTGTACAACAGGCCCAGGAACAGATTCACTGAACAAGATCTGGAGGCGCTGGTTAGTGCTGGCAATGAAGTAATCATAGGATGAGACTCTAATGCGTGGCATGCGGTCTGGGGGAACCAGGTCCAGAACGACCAGAACGGGAGCAGGTTGAAAGCGTACCTACAGGCCAACAATGTCAACCTGGACTACCCAAATACTCCCACGCACTACCTAGTCAATGGAACGACACCGGCAGTCCTGGACATAGTGCTGTCCAAGAACGTGGTGGACATCTCTGACCTGAAGGTGTTAGACGAGCTGAGCTCTGATCATCTTCTAGTTATATTCGAGTTCGGAATGAAACCACCAGAGGTTATCAAAAAAATATACAGCTACAAAGACACGAACTGACGGATGTTCAGAGCTCAGCTGGATCAGAACACCACCATAAAAAAAAAACATCAGAGAAGACGAAATCGACAAAGAAATAGGAACAATAATCAAAAATATCACATTGGCCAGAGATTCCACCACGAGACAGGTCAGCATTAACTTCAGGAAGGTCGAACTGCCGGAGGAAGTTCTTGAGCTCATAGCAGAAAAGAAAATTCTGAGGCGTCGCTGGCAACAGCTGAAAGCGCCTGAAGCCAAGGGCACCTTTAAAAGGATTTGTAACAAGATTGAATACAGAATACGTGAGCTCAGGAACGCCTCCTGGAGAGCCAAGCTGGAGAGTCTGGACCCTCGTGACAATAATCTATGGAAAATGACAAAAAGATTGAAGAAACGCTCCACACCAATACCAATTCTGGAGTATGGTCACGAGGAAGCGGTCTCAGATCCGGAAAAGGTGGTAGTGCTTGAGAAACACTTCCAAAATATATCGAAAGTTGACAAGAACCCAACATCGGTGGTCCAAGAAGACATGGTGGCAACGGCGGCACGAATTAGATCAGAGCCTAGCATCCTGCTCTCGCGACAAGCCCTACGGAAATCAGTGAAATCATCAAATATTCAAACATCGATTAAGCACCAGGGCTCGATGGTCTGGACATTTTTCCTCTGAAAGACATGTCTCGTAAAGCCATAGTCCAACTCCACTATGTTATTAATGCCATAATAAAATGCCAGCACTACCCAGGATGCCTCAAAACTTGGCTTGTTGTACCAATCCCGAAACCAGGGAAGAATCTCAACTCCAC